CAGGGGTGGGGGAGACACAGGGGCGAGGGGAGGGCACAGGTTTTCTGACAAGCATCGGCCATTTCCACCATTCATCACCTCTACGACATGAATACGATACAACTCTTTCCACCATTGACCACCACAACGACATGTAGGCCTATACAACACAACTCTTTCGACTGTGGATTTGAGCAAAGTTGGTGCGCTTCACTTCTGGGAAATGCAAAGATTAGGCTCTCTCCCGGTAATCTAGATGGCGGGAGACGAGGAACCAAATCATTCATTCCCAAGGTCAATCGCTTTTTCCAGGGTCCATTTTTTACTTCCTGTATTCAGTTAAAACTATGGGAAATCGCGCCATTGTGCGCATGTTAATTTTGTCTCAAAATGACGACAGGGAAGGAAAGCAATACGAACTTCATTTTGAAGTCAGTTGTACGTGTACATGAGATTCTTGTTGTATTGGTACTTCAACCACAACAGCACATTAGTCTTCTTTATTTTCTTCTTTTTAGTTTAAATGACAAACGTGTCACGACGCAGTGGAATCAGGGGCTCCTCAATTATTTTAAAATACGTGGTGTTATCCTTATTGGTATCATTAGCTGGTTCATTTGTCTTGCTTTCACTTTCACTTTCAGTGTAAAAATACTCATCTACGAGGGGGAGTCAAAAAGTAATGCAAGTTGTTCGTAATTTAGCACACCTTTTCATCAAATTTAATGAAATTCAGCTCTCAAGTACTTGTTCTTATACTTTTGAACTCAAAGTGTTAAAATTAAAGTTTCTTTCATTTTGGGCCGAATGACGTCACATCAATGGCTACCCTCTTGGGGGTCTGCCGGAGGTAAAGAGCAACTATTGAATATCTTGTTTTAGAAGGAAAATCCACCGATAGCATCCAAAAGAGACTTCGAAATGTTTACAAGGACCAAACTTTAGACTTTGGCACTATATAGAGTTTGAGTAATAAACCGGGAGAAGAGGAAGAAGTATTCCCAGCCGCTTGTCAGAGAAACATCGTCACCAGGAGTCAGCCGGAAAA